GGATAAAAAATTCAGATTTTCGACAGATTCAAACCATTGAAATCAATTGTTTTTCTTAAGACAAGGAAGTGGTGTCATCTTGTCAATGCTTTGTAATTGGTCAGTTAGCGTCCAGATTTCTGTCTTTCTCTGAGACTCTTTGATCGATTCTTTCAAGTCATCCGCACTAGCAAATGTGAGACCACCAATGATAATATCATTTAATTCATTGGAAGGAGAAATATCATCTTTGAGGGGATGTTTTCCCTCAGTAGTCGGGGCCTTAAAGGAGTCAGACATTGTGAAGATGTGCGAGAGTTGCTATTGGATAATATATTTAGATGAATACGAGAGCACCTTAATCAATGTTGTTGATTAAGAAACGGAAGCTGAGAACAAAGTGGAAGCAGCTAAAGGGCCATAACCTGTTGTGATCAAAGCATGAAGTTTTATTATAAACTATGAAGGCTATAAATAATTACAAGATTGTCACATGACCAAGTTATGTGAGACTTAAATACAATCACATATATAAACTGCGTCCCAGGACAGCTTCAGGTCTAGAGGGCAATATGAGATTGTTAGAATGTTGAGGAAGAAGAGTCATAGTACTGATAATATACAGGGTATAAGGAAAGTACATAGTTTGTTTTATTATTTTACGTCAATCCAATACAAATCCGAAGTAGGACATGAGACGCCAAAGCTTGCTGCCCTGGATGCCTGAGGCCTTTGGTGGTCCAAACCTGAATAGCCATATCCTTAAATTTTTATGGACAACAGGTTATGGGGGAGATATTCTGCTCCATAACATGAAATATTGTCAAACATCTGATGGTTTGGAACCTACTGAATATGGTAATGAGAATCATTGGATAGTGGGATGACACATCTTGTCAGATTAACTAACTCGAGCTTTGATATCTCACCAGGGATATGGTGATCAGGATGACTAGGATGTTCAGGATGTTCAGGATAGTCAAAGCTCTAACATGAGATCTTTTGATCTTCAACACATGTAATATATTTCATATGTAATTTTGGGAAACAAGGAGAAGATAATCTCTCCTCGAAATAGTTTCAGATGGGTATATAGCATCACTGCTGGAGAGGAGTTGAGGAGCAGAGATTTCATCAATACAACTTTACTTTACAATTTTCATTTGACCCTCAGTGTCTAACAAATACATTTGCGTTAAAGTTTCTTGCACATGAAAATACTGGGACAAATGACTATCTATACAATTGAGTTGGGTTACAGTGCTAGAGTTTAAAATCCCTCTGTGCAAATTTCTAGTCAGCATCAAGGAATGTATGTAGTGTGTTATAGTAATACAGGTCAAGGTGTACTGGCAAAGCAGCGAGCGTGTGGACACCTATATACTGACCAGCCAGCTGACTAAGCCACATTTCCTGAAAAGCTTCGACTTTTTGGCCTATAGCAGGATCCAGGGCATTCAGAAAATAGTGCAACAGTGAACAACCACACAATCAGGCAAGGAGGAGGGCAAGACTGAACACCTGTACGCAATATCCTCTACGAACCTGGGAGTGAAATATTCTCAAAAAGCCAAGTTCAGTCAAATTTCGCAATATCAAAGAACTTGGCCCACGAGGTAAAATTTCAAATTACTCCACCACGCCGTGTTCTCACTCCCAACGAGTTTGACTTCTACCTAAGTCTCATCAAGTCAATAAGTACGACCTAGTACATCCTTATTCCATTGACCACACCTCTCTCCAACCTTCTCTGGCCTCAGTTGACCATCAAATATACGCCCACGCCAATATTTATATCCGACGGAGTGTTATGGGCTGTACCCGGATTTGGACTGGTCACTAGGACCAACCCGGCTAGATCTTTAAGCGCCAACAAAGCAGCGCTTACAGAGACGCGAAAGGTTGCATGGTGAAGAATGCAAGGATACGCACAAAGAGGGATCTAAGTATTGTATAAGCATTAATGCAAGGTTGCGCACAAGAACGAGTCTCAGTGTTGCATAAGAATAATTGCAAGGTTGCACATGAGGAAGGACCCAAGGGAGTTCGTACTAAGGGGGGGAGGATGTCACAGGAAAGAGGGTAGCCGGGGAGAATGGAGTATTCTCAGGTAGGCTAGGAGGGGAGCTTAAACGCGACGCTGAGGAGGAGATAAAGGACAGGAGCCGTCGTAGGCAGATTAGCTTCCCAAGGAAAAATTATCAATTCCTATTGAGTTAACGCCCCGCAAGTACTTCTGAATTCTTTAAACCCTTTACACGGAGGAAGCAAAGCGTGGCGCACAAATCTGGGAGACAGTTCTTTGGGATGGACGTGAGAGGGATTAGTACAAGTTTATACAATAATGCAAAGGATAGATACAATCTTGACAGGCGTGTGATTTTGAATTTTGGCAAGGAGTATCACGAATTGAGCTATGTGCGAGCCAAGTCTTCGATTGCGAGAGTGTAGCTGACACTATAAAACAAGCAAATGATCGAAGGCGCCGTGGTCTGCCTCTTGGTGGTGATCTCTGGTATAGTTCTAGTAGCCTGGGTACCTACTCCATTTGAGAAGGAGACACCTAAGACCACATTTCGCGCGGAGAAATTTGAACGGATGATGGAGGCATGTCTGGGTAACTTAGGATTTTAAAGACTTTTCCCTGGGTGGGTATTCATGGATGAGGGTTGACTTGGGGTGAAGAAAAAGCCGGCATAACTTTGCAGTGGTACTTGTAAATGAAATCCGAGGTATGAGTGCTTTTTGTTGAAATATGATACATCTTGGAATGCCAAGAATAACTTATTAGTAAGTCCGGCTAATTTGTTAGAAAATATACTCTGTACAATATTATATGGATAAATATGATGAAGTAAAGAAGACTTGATATTTTACAACTATGTGAACATTGGACTTATATATACATCTAAGGGAGAAATTCCCGCTAGCCTCGTGTGCCTGTCAAACCTAGTGATGACTAGCCACCTCTCATCTACCATGATGAGCCAAGGTACACTGTAGTACGTAAATATCCAAACGTATAGGCGACAGTAGGCGCGATTAGCGCACTCGGGACATGTGTAGAGAGAGTCGATCTTGTCGGGAACCTGAGACGAAACAGGTAATGATTGAGTCCTAAATTCGAGAGTCAGAATTTCCAACAATGTTGTCTCTCCTAATTCCAGAGATGTTCAGTTCATTATATTAACTGAATATCTCTGAAGGTAAGTATTCTTACAGTAGTCACTCCAATATCATAGTTCATTGTATTAACTGAATATCTCTAAAGGCTATATTCATCGCTCCTCTCGTCAACTCCACAGCTTTACATCTAAAGCCCCGTTCACCTGCTCCTGTGCTCGAATACCACTCTTCCTTCCTCTCCAACACCCAAAACTCCATTCTGATATACTATCTTCATAATAAATTTATAATCTTCATATTTGTTGGCTCCCCGCTGAGCTGCTTGTGCAGATGTAATTGTTTTTCGATAGGAGGATAGATATGTTTGCCGGGTCTTGGCCGTGGGCCAACTTGGCGTCAATTTAAAAATCGCTCACTCACTACTCGGTGGTGCAGTCCACTCCAGGTGCGAGTTTTGCTAGCTTTTACTAGCCAAACGTGGTGCCGGAAGACTCAAATTGAAAGACCCACGATCCCTTAAAATCATTAACTTTGCAAAATTTTGAATTCAGTTACTTGATAATTCCAAGTATTACTCACAAAAATTATTCGAGTAAATCCTTTAGATCCTTCCATCATCACTAAGACGACGATCCTCGCCATCCAGATATCTCGTCGAAATACGAGGCTTGCATATCCATCTATATTCCTCTCCACCATCCTTGTCACAAAAGATGTCAAGTTGGTCAAATCCGCCACAGCGGTATTGGGAGCTGGGAACGCGCTGTAAACTCATTGGATGGCTTCTCCTCCATGACCGAGGATGGGTGATGAGAAGGGCTCCGACCCTACCATCTGATCTTTTTGTTATTGATCCCCTGACAATATTGCTAAGGGGGTGTGCCGAGAGATGAAGACAATACAAACGGTACGAGCGTTTGTAATTCCAATGGAAGTGAGGAGGTAGACGCAATTCCATCTCGGCCCTGCAAACCCTACAGAGATATGGAAGTTTGTGGGGAATAACGCTGGCAGGTGTGGAGTACTCGTTCCCCAAGATACACACTGTCACAAGGGTCAAGTCCGATTCACTAACTGAATCGGGGCTGACAGTTCTTCGAGCTCCGGCTCGATCAGGGGAACGCTGTAGGAAACGAATTTGATGCTCATACAAAGTTGATGGCTCGAATGCTGCAGCTCTACATTGAAACAAATACGCCCATCGCCCTCGAAGTGTTTGGGCACGAGGGCTGCATGGAGAGATATGATATCTCTGACCATCAATGGCATCAAGCCAAGCCCTGCAAATCCCGTCTTGGCCCACCGTTCCCTAGAGATTCTGCTGTTCTGTCACCACCTTCATCATGTATTCCACCCATCATAGTGGTAAGAACACCTGTTCGCACAAGTCATTTTTCTACCAGATCTATCATCCCCACAGCCAAGATGCGCGATAGGCCGAAAGGTGACCAACTCATGGCTCAGCTCTACTGCTGGCTATTGGGCTCTAGAGTCAGATACGCTTGTGGCCCATAAAACTCGGGAAGATGGGCGCCATTTTGCACCCACCAAGATGCACGACTCTCTATGCCGAGTCTTGTCAAACTTTGTAGGGCAAAAGGTATTAGAAAATAGCCAAGATATCATGACTTCAAACCTTAGACACATGGTAAATTGAGGCCAAGCCATCTTCAGGCGAATACCTTTATCAGCCCGAGGTGACCCCGTATTACACTGCCGCTACTATTCTACTCTAGAGCAGATACAAATACTGGAACCACGCATGCGTCTTTGCTAGCACATTCATCGTCTTCTAGCAATCTTAAGACTACCCATTGAGATATTCATCCCATCGCAAGCCTAGCTCGTGTACGCATAAACCGTCCGCTTGTCCCCGACACCCCGAATCTTCAAAAATGCGCACTGCCACTCTACTCGCATGCGTTGGTACCTCGCTAGTCTCTCTCGTGTCTACAGTACAGGCCAGTGATTATCATTGTACTAATGGCGCAGTAATTCCGGCATCTTACATCGTTTCTGCCTTGACGAGAGCTAGAGAGGACGCGAACAACTATCAATACGGTTTCAGCCCGAATCAGCCGGGTGCTTTCTATAAGGCCACGCCTACGGCGACATCTTACGAACAATTGTACTGGCGCGAAATCTCTGTTGATCCGGGGCAGCGAAGTATACAAAGTAAGTCTTCACTGCCTTTTATTCTCTTAGCTCCCTCTTAACTGACCTTAATAAAGATGTAAATTATGTATACGAAGTAGTATTTAATATTCGTTATGATTTGCGCTACGTCAACGCACATCGAGAGTCCGATAGAGAGAAACGACACACATTTTCCTGTTCATAAGCCTAAGTGGGCCGAGTGCAGTTATAATCTCAACTCAAATTACTGTAAGAGAGAGAGAATATCGTTTACTGTTTGGCGACAAATTCTCTCACATTATTATTGGGTATCTTAGAGCAGCTTTACTTTATAAATATCATGTAGAGTTGCATATCGGAGATGTTGGATAATATACTAGCATTACCCCAAAATTTAAAAGACTTGCTCTCACACATGCATACCTTTCGCAAGGGGCTGAAACGATAAGCCCATGCGCATGTATCCCGAGGAAGAGTTTAGTGAGATGACTGGTGAACCTTTACTATCTACCTTAGCCTAGTGTAAAACCATATTTCCGGTGTCACGATCCGAGTATTGATGCTGGAGCGATCAGGTATACATAGGTAGCTACTAAATTTCTCTCTGGCTAACTATCAATGTATTACTTTAACTATCTATGCATCTATTAAAATGTCTGGAAGATTTGATCTTGGCTGATGTCGGCTTTTCGCACATTCCACTGAGAGTCATTCCCAGTCTTGCTAACACTAACTAGGATCTTCAACTCCCGACTCATCCGATCTGGACTAAGGCATAAGCTATCCTAGAATTAAAGGAGCACGTGATTGTAATCATGTGCTATAGCACAACAATCGGCTCGCAGCGCAAAGCAGATAGTAAAATTTAAAATTAAATCACTTCATCAAGTCAATGCGCTTCTAGTTTGGCCAGGATCACTAATAATTTAAGATATTCGCACATAGCTAGCCTAGCCAGTGTGTATCAAAGTGTTGGGAATGGAGACACAGAGTGTTGTGGACGTACGGGCCCTCCGTTTCGTCCAGGTTCCCGATACGATTTTGTGTATGAAAGAGATTGGGATGGGTAATATGGTAGCGCATCAGGCTGCCTATTGGATATATGAGCGGCTGTATGGCGTGGGCGCAAGGAGGTTATTGGGGGTTTCTGTTGTATTGTGTGTTTGTGTTTTATTGTACTACTTGAGTCTATGACTATCTAGCACATTGGGCTCCTCTCTGACCCAGGCCACACCTTGTACAGTGCTCCTATCCTCTTTTGTTACTTGAAAGATCATTGATATATTTCCCTTGATGAATAGCCATTCAGCTCAGTATTTACCCGTGGAATTCAGCCACCTTTTCCACGGAACCTTCTACCCAAAAAAAATAAAAATGGTAGCAATGGAAACTGCGTGCGCGGGAAAAAGTCTCAAAAAACCTGCAGCCCCAGCCAGGCGAGGCCTAGACACCGGGACCACATGAGGTGCGCATATTCATCTATATCTCCCTTCTTTGTAACAGTCGAGGCCGACTTGATCCAATCCACCATCTCCGTATCGGGTGCTGGGTACGCTCCGGAAACTCATCGGATGGCTTTTCCTCCATGATCAAGGGTGGGTGACGAGTAGGGCTCCGACCCTACCATCTGATCTGATCGTGGTTAGCTTCATGATAGTGGTGATAGGGGAATGTGTTGAGAGATGAAGACGATACAGACCGCGAAAGCGATTGGGAATCCTCTTCGAAGTGAGGACTTTGTTACTCAATCTCGGCTCTGCAGACTCTACAGTGAGAGCTGGAGGTTCGTAGGGGACACCACTGACAGGTGTTGAGAATAGTCCCCCTTCTGTTGTATTTAGATAGTTGTATACATAACAAGGTCTGACTTCTATGTCAACTGAGCAGCAGAAATATACAAAAGTCCGTGCATGATGAGTATCACGTGTTTATCTTGGCCCATACTTGCCAATCAGAACAGTTTCCTATGCCTAGATAGCGCCACACTCGTTTTTACTGTGGCTTAGGCTGTGTGTTGCATACACTTGCACTTTTTTTTTAAAATAATTTAATTTGTATTCAGCTATCTAGCTATGACACATGACCGGTGCCACCATTCCTGAATAACTTTGAGAAAATCGATGAGATACCCTATAATCATTATCCTTACCCTTTCATTTGCATACATTTACACTGATCCGACTTCTCATAGCAGCAAGACCCCAGATCTCCAACATGTCTCCGGGGCCTGCCAAATCATCGCGACCTATTCGCCATAAAAGAATTATGGACAGAATGAATACCAAGCTGAAAAAGCACTTGCAACGCAAAAGAATACCATTGAGCTCCATAGACGGGCAAAAGATGGAACTAGATATGACCGAGAGGATAAGAGCCTTCGCAGAAGACTTGAACTCCACAAACTCAGATGTTGAGATGGGTGATGCAGCCATCAGCCAATATATCAAAGAGGGTCTTGAGAGCTCGAGGTAGAATATACAGGAGCCCGAAGACGGTCAGGTCTCAGAGGCCCCCGTCAATATAAATACAAGGAAGATTGCTGTGCCGGCCATAAAGCGGACAGCTAATGCTAACTTAAAAGAAGCCGAAGCAGTCGCGCCCACCATAACACCTCAGAATACCATTCCGGGGGAAATTGGTAACAATCAAACTTCTTGCAGCGATAGTAGCTCCAAGAAAACTGCGACTTGTCCTCCCAAGCTTTGAGCCATACTTGAAGCCGAAGAACAACGAGCGGCCCACACCGCAGCTAATCTCACAATATGCACCGCTGCTATCAATGGTTTGGAGAATGCGCTCTCACCTCTATCCAAAGGGTCGAGCGTTCAATTTATAGACTCCATGAAAGTCTACCTCTGAGCTGCAATAGCTCAATTCATGATGTCGGGACCAGGAACAGTCCTTCCCAACCTCCCCCCACGACCAAACTGCCAGAATCATGGCGGGAAGATCGTGGAACAAACAATTGAAAAGCAGCCAGAGCTGCTACAAAAAGCGACCGAGGGCAAGGTGACTCAGGTCAAACCTACATGGGCGACAGTTACCCGTACTAGACTCAAGACGCCTGCGGCACCAATGAAAGACGCTCGAGTCCACAACAAACCCTCCATATCAACGAAATCTACAGCAAAGGCTACGACAATAGCCGCCCAAGACGATTGTTTGTTTCTTCGACTTAGCAAAGACCACGCCTGGCGCGCTCTCTCACCGGCTGGCGTGCGAGATACGGCACCAAAAGTGCTCGAGCTTCCCTCACAAAATATTAAACACGTATACCGTGTTCCGACTGGTTTCGCACTTCGAGCCAAAAACCAGGAAGCACGACAGCTTCTTGTAAACTCTGCTGCATCGTTCGTCAGGTAGACGCAAAGTTGGAGAAGGCCTCAGATCTAGTGGCCCTTCGTATTGCGACAATTCCAGTTGCTATTCATACACTCCTGGGAAAATTAATTGTCACCAACGAGATGGTGGCCGACGAAATCACCCGAGTCACCAACAAAGTTCCGGCAAGGGTCCCCCCTCATGGAAAAGGACGAGTCGGGTCCCCTACCAGACACGGGTGGCTCACTTCGAAAGAGCATCCGTCCCTAGACCATGATTCCGACTATTTGATGACTCTGGAATCGCAGTTCGACATCAGCCCCGCCCAACTGTGAGCCAATGCAAGTAATATCTCATATACCACGGGACTCAAAGTTGCTCGCGCACCCAAGTATGCTGGAACTGCACCTCAACAATGCACTCCACGTCGGAATGCAAAGAGTATACAAAATGCCGCGACTGTGGGGGGCCCCACCAATCGGACAGCCGAGATTGCCTGGCTCGCCCCACCAAGTCTGGAACGGCCTCGAGAGAAAATCTCTTGACTATCAGACAAGCTAGCCAACGCAAATATGCCGCGATGGTCGGAGCAAAAACTGCAATTCGACGAGCAGAGGCCGCTATCAAAGCATCTGCATAGACGGACAAAATAAGTCCACAGAACTACAGCTCTGTTGTAAATATCGCGAAACGAAATGGGCGCAATACTCATGGAACAAAAGTAGAAGTTGACTAAAGGAGTGTCATGTTCGGATTGAAGCTAAAAGTGTAGGAGATGTCCGCTACAAGTACAAGTGTAAGCGACACAGAGCCTAAGCCACAGCATAAACGAGTGTGGCGCCATATAGGCATAGAAAACCCCCCAATAACCTCCTTGCGCCCACGCCATACAGCAGCTCATATCTCCAATAGGTAGCCTGAAGCGCTACCATATTACCTATTCCAACCTCTTCAATACACACGAGATCGTGTCGGGAACCTAGACGAAATGGAGGGCCCGTACGTCTATAACACTCCGTGTCTCCATTTCCAACAAGCTCTAACAACAGCTTTGAAGTTCTAGTGATGATTGAGATGCCAAACGTGACTGAGGTCACAGAGGCGGTCATCCCGAAAAATCAGTCATAAAGGGCGCCACATGGGCCTCTTTACGCCTCCCTCCTACTCTAAGTTTCATATCAATAAACGTAGGTAGAAGAGGTCCGACACAGAATATTGCACTCGCCCGAGCATTAGAGATGAATATCGACGTTGTTCTAATTCAAGAACTTAGATGGAAAGGAGAGACAATGTCGCATCCTGGATATATTTGTCACTTACCTCATGGTGGCAAAAAGGTCAGGCCAAGGGCCGTGACCTACACCCGGAAAGATGATAGGACAATATCAGCGAGGCAACTCTTCCCCTGCGCTAAGCTGACGGGCGACTACTGCTGGGTGGTAGTGAATGGAATCACTTTCCTCAATGTGTACAAAGCGCCCAGAGACGTATCAGCCGCACAGCCACTTATCAATTGGACCCCGCCGCCGAACTCAGTCGCTGCGGGTGATTTCAATTCGGTGTACTGTGCCTGGCAACCAGGAGTTACTCGTCCCTACAGACAAGGAGAAATAATTGAAATATGGGCTGGAGAACACCATCTAACTTGCCTTATCATCGGAGAGCCCACTCATCAAGCTGGAAACACCTTGGACCTTGCCTGGACCAATATTAACGGTAGCCGTGCATGGGTAGACCGTGATGAATGTGTCAATAACAACCATTTTCCCATCCGAGGAATAGTTCCGGCCCAGTCTGCAGTATTAAGACCCAAGCTAGCCAAGATTCGAGTGACTGGGGAAAAACTGCCAAACTTTGCGCGAGCTGTTGCTAAATTGGTTCGTT